ACAGTTCTCTCCAGTTTGATCCGGAAAGTCCTTTGTTACTTCTTTTCTCTTCTTGTTGTTATCATAAATTTCCTTTCTTTGCAATCTCTGATGATTTTCACAAGCAGGATAACAGCAGGCATTCTATGTGGGTTTTGTACTTTTCCAAAAATCATATCGATCCGGGACAGCCTCTGTACAATGCTTCCATAAACAAAGTTAATCTCCGATCTGTCCTTTATTTTTCTCAGGCTTACCAAATAACAAATGAGTCTGGGGGGTTCTGTCAGGTCAAACTTACATCCCAACATTCCTTCTCTTTCAAACAATCCTGATTCTCCTCCCCCAGTCCTTCTTCCTCGGTAAACCTGTCATGGCGAGACGCCATTTTTTAACTGCGTCATAAAAAATTTCTTCCTTTCTCACCGTTCTGCCGTCTTTTTTCCTTATACTCCGTCCCACATAGTTCTTAAAGTCCTGCCTGTGATTCATAGAAACGCGACGATCTTGTTTCTATCTGGGGTGAAGGGTTATTAATATCGCATCATGCAAAGAAAAAAAGAGTTTTTTCCTCCACCCCCCCTTCGTTCCAAACATACAGTCTCCTTATGGTGATTCATCAGAAGATTTACTTATCCATCCGTCACTCCTGGTCGCAGAGATCCATTAATCAGCAGTCTTATCTTCGAGCTTTACTTGATGTATGTGCTTTCAGCTTCGTTTCCAATCGTATGTTTCCAATTATAATTCCAGCTGAAGCAACCAGCACACGCTGATTGGAATCGGCGTCAGGAAAATCTGACTTCACCGAGAGCCTTTTGCCAAGTGTTTGATGTTATTGTCGGCCATCTTCCAACGCGCCACCTGGTGGCCCCCCCCCCTAAAAAACAAAAGAGTACAAAGCCCTTTTGGCCTCAAAAAAAAAGGCAGTCCGAACAAAATTCCTGGTCCCTACTATTGAATGCCTCACTAAACAATGAAACTAAACTCTTTTGGCAACTGGTCTCCGACTCAATGAAAAATAGTTCCTCAGCCCCCAGCTGTGCCATTCCAGCTCAGGTTTGGGAGAACCACTTCAGAAATATATTTATGGAAAATCCAAACCTCCCTTCCAGCTTACAGGAGGATGACAGGGTAGAATTGTCACTGCTCCCTAATTGGAGGCCGGTTACTGTGGAGGAAGTCCATACATTAATTGGGAATCTGAAGAGTGGAAAGGCCCCGGGAAAAGACTTTATCCCAGCAGAGTTGATTACATCAAACCAGCACTGGTGGGCTCCGCTTCTGGCAGCACTCTTTACGGTAGTAAATAACTCGGGTAAGGTACCATATAGCTGGAAACATGCTATAGTAGTTCCAATCTTTAAGAGAGGCCACCCAAATGTACCATCCAATTACAGGCCTATTAGCCTGCTCTCAATAATTGGGAAGCTGTATGCCCGTTTCCTCAGTAGCAAACTGACAACTTTTCTAAATGAACGTAATATACTATCTGAAGCCCAGGCAGCTTTCCGTGAGAACCATTCAACAACAGACCACTGTCTAATGCTGTCCTTCCTAGCTGAGAAGTATACCAGACCTCTACAGGGTAAACTCTTTGTGGCCTTTATGGATCTGAAATCAGCATTTGACTCCATCCCCAGATCCCAGCTATGGTCCAAATTGAGTCTGATTTTGCAGGACAAACGACTTCTCTTTCTTATAAAAGCCCTGTACAATGGAACCAAACTGCAGGTCCGATGCGGTCGACAGGGACAGCTATCGGACAGCATCGAGATGACTAGGGGGGTGAGACAGGGTTGTATTTTGGCCCCCACACTGTTTTGTCTATTCGTAAATGACCTAGAAGAGAACTTAATGGACCCAGATGGACACACTCCAAAAATAGGAATGAGAAGGACCCCTTTGTTGTTGTATGCTGATGACGCGGCCATCATCTCGCGTTCCAGACCGGGTTTGAATTATCTGTTGAGGAAATTTTCTGATTACTGTTCTGGAAATGGTTTATCCATTAATTATGAAAAATCTAAAATTTTAGTCTTCGAAAGAAGATTCTCCCAGTCTAAATGGGTGCTGGATGGCCATAACCTTGAATAGGTAAAATACTTCAGTTACCTAGGGCTCACATTCCATCATACAGGATCTTGGAAGCACCATTGGCAAATCTCCTTTCAAAAGGCGGAGATTACAAAGCTAGCCATACATAGATTCTTCTATACAAAGGGCGGCAAATATGTTCCAGCAGCCTTAAGGGTTTTCAACGCAAAGCCCGTTTCCCAACTCCTGTATGCAGCAAATGTCTGGCATAATGGGGACCTGCCAAAGCTAGATGGCTTTCAGGCAAAATTTATACGAGCCCTGCTGCAGGTACCTAACTGCGTCCCCAACTCCGTACTTCTGTTGGAAGCTGGTGAATGCCCAATTTCAGCTAGAGCGTGGTGGGCTGCCCTAAAACATTGGCTCAGGATTTCAGTGTTTAATTTAGGGAAGGGTCTGTACCAACATTTGACCAATGAGGAATTGGTCAGCAAATGGCAGAAAACCATGGCTAAAAAAGCCACCTCTATTGGTCTGTCTCCCCCCCAACCTGGGTTATGAAGGCGGCCAAAAGGTTTTAAAGCAAAGATTATGGGACAATGCACACAGCGACTTGCGATCTCGATCACACGCAGTCTGTAGTCCGCTGGCAGCAGGAGTTCAATATGGGTATGTCTTTGAGTTAACATCTTACATAAAAAACCTGACAGTACCTAACTATCGAAGGCTTTTCACTAAAGCCAGACTAAATGTCTTCCCCTCTGCAGTGCTGGATGGTAGGTTGAGAGGAGTTCCCTACCAGGACAGACTTTGCTCGTGTGCTCAAGACATCGATTCCATAAATCATATTTTGTTGCATTGTACGAAGTATGAGCAGGCCAGGGCTGAACTGATACTACCTTTGCTGGTACCTTTCCCGGGAAAATCAGAGGCTCACTATGTCAGGTTCCTACTGGAAGACTGGACAAAAGCTAGAACGCTGGCAGTGGCAAAGTTTCTATCGGTGGTTGCAAGAACAAATGAGCCCTATATTCTAAACAAAATGATTAATTAACCTGGAGGTAGGCTGTATGAACTGTGTATTGATTTGTAATGTTTTGTTGGGTCTCTGGACCGTAATAAAGATTGTTGTTGTTGTTTAAATAAACCACAGAAAACTATTTTCAAGTCCAGCATCTTGGTTAGGCACCTGGTGTTTTTATTTATCTATTGCAATAGGACAGAGCTCAGTTCAATGTGCCCATTAAGAAGGTCTGTCCGAGGCACATCAGATCAAAACCTCATAGAGTAACACAGCACACAAAGAGTCATAAAACTTCCCCTTTACATGCGTCAAGAAAGGTCATAGGTCATTGGATAGAAAACAAGTATGGCGTCTTCCTGCTATCAACTCCCCCCCCCCCATAACTTAGGACCTGTGTTCTTTAGGGGCACAGTTTCCCCATTCAGTTTCCTCCACACCTGCCCCGCTCCCGTTCACCAGAAACAGTACTTCAGTCTTATTGGAATTCAACTTCAATCCATTAACTGCCATTCAGCCAGATAAAGTTTTAAATATAATGATTTTTCCAGCAATTAGAATAGGTGTTCATTTTTTAAATATAGATTTTTTATGTTTGGGGCACATCTCCCTTTTACTTTGAACATAGTAAGAACTCTGCTGGATCTGACCATCGTGTTCTCAGTGGCGGTAGCACATCCTGCTTGTGACTAGTACCCATTGGTATGAATGATTGCTAGGAGGCCTGCCAACCAGATCAGGAGAGCTGCAGTGGAGCCTGCTAATGGACAAGGGAAAGCAAGAAGGAAGGAGCTGGAGGGTGGAGAAAGGTGTGTTGTAATGAAACAGCTATTTGTCCAAAGGGAGAATTTGCATTTGCTTTCCATTTTTGCCTCAGGTCCCACCCACAGCTGCCATGTGGCCCCCATAGGGTTGCACAGAAAGAAATGTGGCCCTCGGTGTGAAAAAGATTCCCAACACTTGCAGTATGCCATTACAGAAAATGGTCTTTTTTTCCATGAAGTGTATGGTGTTGAAGGTGGGTGATATCTTGTTTTATCTTTAGGTTTCGTTTAGCTCCTGAGCATCCCTATCCAGTCCCTGTACTGGACAGTTTAACTGCTGCAATATATTTTCTAAAGAATGCAGAGGAATACGGAGTGGACGCCAACTGCATTGCCATTGCTGGGGAGAGTAGCGGAGGCACATTTGCAACAGCTGTTTGTCAAGAACTGGTGACCAGAGAGGGCCTCCCAAGACTGCGAGCTCAGGTCCTCATCAACCCATTCCTACAAAGAGTGGACTTTGATTTGCCATCCTATCAGCAAAACCAATCAGTTCCTCCATTGTTCAGGAAACAAATTATCAAATTTGATTTGACATATCTCACTGGGAAGACAATGAATGTAGATGGAATTCTGAAAGCCGCCCATGTCCCTCCTGATTTGAGGGAGAAATGCCGAAAATGGATCAGTGCTGATAACATTCCAGAAGAATTTAAAGCTAGGGGCTATGTTCCTGTAGAACCTGCTCCATTTTCAAAAGAACTTTATGAACAAGTTAAAAGAGCTGGTGAGACAGTGTTTGCCCCCCTTTTAGCGGAGGATGACATAATCCGCCAGCTCCCAGAAACTTTCATTCTAACCTGTGAATATGATGTTCTACGGGATGATGGGCTGTTGTACAAGAAGCGGTTAGAGGACCACGGTGTGCCAGTGACATGGTATCATGTTCATGATGGATTCCATGGAATAATGGCCATGGCTGGTTGGCAGATCCTTGAATTCCCGAGCACACAGAAATGTTTGCAGAGTGTAATACAGTTCTTAAAAGGTTTATAGAAATGAATGACCTTCTTTGTCTTCCAATGGCAGCCTTCCCTTTCTGTGGGGGAAACAATCCCCCTTTCCTATTGTCCCAGTCCTAAAGTAAGAAGAAAAGGTCAGGTCCACAATTCTACCCAGTCAGATTTATTAAAATCACCATGACATCTGTGAGTACATAAGCAGCATTCATTGGCATACAACCTGTCATAATGCAAACATTCCTAGAGCCTCCTCCATGAATTGGTCTGATCCTCTTTTAAAACTACCCAACCAGGTCACCAAGTTAGCTAATTCCATTGATTAGCTGTCGCTCCATAATACCATATTGGTCCGAATATAAGCCACACCTTTAAAATTCAACAGGGGAAAAAAAGACAATACCCGAATATAAGCCGCTCCCTTAAAATTCCACAGGCACTCACAAACGTTCTGTTTTACCATATGTCTGTTTGAGCAGCAATATCGTAAAAAAGCAAATTTTTGTAAGGTCATCAATTTAAGCCGCACTTTAACTTTTCATGGTTGGAATTTGGGGGAAAAACTGCGGCTTATATTCAGGCCAATACAGAATTTGGAAGATATTTAGCAATAAGAAAGGAGCTCCTGGACAAGTAGCTAAATGGAGCTAAACCCTTGTGAATGATATGAACTCATTTAATTACACCAACATTAGACAGGATTATAGCGAAACTGAAGGGTGGGAATATATTTACCCTTCAAAATTAGGGCCATGATACCTGAAGTATCTTTCTATATGTACCTCTTCTAACCAGATATGTACACCTGAAAGCAGACCGGGATCTACGAAAGAGGGTGAGGGACTGATGAGATATGGTTCTGCTGCACAGCCCCAAGCTATGTCCCCACAGCTATTGTCAGCACTAACCAAAGTTTCCAGAAGGTCACCTTCATGTAGAACCCATTGCAGTAATCCAAATGGGAGGTCACTAGTGCTGATCTTGACAGGAAGATAATGCCACAGGCCAGCATGGGGAGATGATGGGGGTAAGGAGGAAAAGGACACAGAATAAGAGCTCTCTCGTAACTTGCAGACCTCATTTGACTCAGAGGGAATTATCTTACCCGCTCTCTCCAATTTCAGTGTTTGGTGGAAGGAGAACTATGCCTCTATGCAGAAGGAGGACACCAGGATGAGGTGGGTGCTAGAAGGTGGAGTGCAAGTCAGCATGCAGAAGAGGCATGGGGTTAAGGCAGAGGGAGGGCCCCCCAGACTCCCAGACTATCCCTGTGCCTTTAACCTCTCAGCTGACTTCTCCATCTCTTCCTTGATTAGTCTGCTTCATCTGAGGTTACAGCCTGTTTTCCTTTTTCTCCTCCTATTTCTCTCTTGGAGCCTTCAAAGTATCCCCTGAGACAACAAATGACCAGGCAGGGCTGCCTTTTTCTTCTCAAGTCTAGTTCATAAGTCTAGAACTTGATACCTTTTCCTTCCAAGTATTTCCTACAATAACCAGCTTTACTGTTTTCTTATGTACAAGCATCTGTCGGTGTGTGATTGCGACAGGTAAAGTCTGCTCTCTTAAAGTCTATTCACAAGATCTATGCTGTTTACTGACCCAAGAGCTTCAGAAGGTAAAGGGGGTCAATAAGAGCAAGCTTTATTTCAACAAATTATTGGCCCATTTATCCCAATAGCGTGGGAGAAAGGAGATCTACCTTATAACTAGAGTGAATGATTTCAGCAAGAAACCAAATACTTTTTCATTCCCTTCCCAACAAAAAAGGACGACTTTAAAGGTTCTAAGCTGAAAAGCCCCCTGTGACAGACATCAGAGCCAGACCCCAATCTGGTGATGCAGTTACTTAGAATTCCACCAGAATTTTCACCAGGGAAATGTTAGAGGGTATAAAAAAGGTAAAGGGACCCCTGACCATTAGGTCCAGTCGTGACCGACTCTCGGGTTGCGGCGCTCATCTCGCTTTATTGGCCGAGGGAGCCGGCGTACAGCTTCCGGGTCATGTGGCCAGCATGACTAAGCCGCTTCTGGTGAACCAGAGCAGCGCACAGAAATGCCGTTTACCTTCCTGCCGGAGCGGTACCTATTTATCTACTTGCACTTTGACGTGCTTTCGAACTGCTAGGTTGGCAGGAGCAGGGACTGAGCAACGGGAGCACACCCCGTTGTGGGGATTCGAACCGCTGACCTTCTGATCGGCAAGTCCTAGGCACTGTAGTTTAACCCACAGCGCCACCCGCGTCCCGTTAGAGGGTATAGAGTTATGCAAACCCCAAGCCAAGGAGTAACTACCAGTATATAGCCTTTAAAAGACATCTGAAGCCAGCAATGTCTTGGGAAGTTTTGTAATGTTTTATGTTTTGTTATGTTTTTATATATGTTGGAAGCCACCTAGAGTGGCTGAGGATGTTGGCTTTTTGCAGTATGGTAGCACTGCAGAGAGCTTGCTGGGGAGACCATGCATTAAAAAGGGACTCAAAAATAACTTAAACAAGGTTTTAATTACAAAAACAAAAACTCCTTATACACTAAATACATTAACAAACAAACATGACCCAACCACCAACCCATCCCCCAGGGTAATGGGAGAGCTAGGTGCTGCTCCTTATATACTACACCCAATTGCTGACAGAGCTTAATCAATACAACTCAGCAGCACCTGCTATGTTTCACAGCTGTAAAGCTGGGTCTCGTTATTTAGCTCTGGCCCTTTCTCTGGCCCCTTAAAGACATACACATCGGGTGGAACAATGATGAACCTTTACATTTAAAGAAACCATTCAACAGAGGAATCCCAGTCAGATGGCTGGTGTATAAATAATAAAATCATCATCATCATTATCATTATTGAATTGGACACCCCAATTTTCTTCAGAGAAATGTTTGAAGATATACACCATTTGAATGGCAATGCCTGTCAACTTTGGGGGAGGGAGGCCCCTCAAATATTTTTCCGGTGGGGGAAACACCCCTTAGCCCCTAGGCGTTGGCTCCTTTGTTTTCTGGCTAGAATGTGTCCTTGAACTTCAATAAATGCCTCTTGTTTGCTAGGAAAGAGAAGGGCTTGTATCAAAACTCCATCACTATTTAGAAGACAAAATGTTGTTGTGTTGTTGTTTAGTCGTTTAGTCGTGTCTGACTCTTCATGACCCCATGGATCAGAGCACACCAGACACTTCTGTCTTCCACTGCCTCCCGCAGTTTGGTCAAACTCATGTTGGTAGCTTCGAAGACACTATCCAACCATCTCGTCCTCTGTCGTCCCCTTCTCCTTGTGCCCTCCATCTTTCCCAGCATCAGGGTCTTTTCCAGGGAGTCTTCTCTTCTCATGAGGTGGCCAAAGTATTGGAGCCTCAGCTTCACGATCTGTCCTTCCAGTGAGCACTCAGGGCTGATTTCCTTAAGAATGGATAGGTTTGATCTTCTTGCAGTCCATGGGACTCTCAAGAGTCTCCTCCAGCACCATAATTCAAAAGCATCAATTCTTCGGCGATCAGCCTTCTTTATGGTCCATCTTTCACCTCCATACATCACTACTGGGAAAACCATAGCTTTTACTATACGGACCTTTGCTGGCAAGGTGATGTCTCTACTTTTTAAGATGCTGTCTAGGTTTTTCATTGCTTTTCTCCCAAGAAGCAGGCGTCTCTTAATTTCGTGGCTGCTGTCGCCATCTGCAGTGATCATGGAGCCCAAGAAAGTAAAATCTCTCACTGCCTCCATTTCTTCCCCTTCTATTTGCCAGGAGGTGATGGGACCAGTGGCCATGATCTTCGTTTTTTTGATGTTGAGCTTCAGAACATATTCTGCGCTTTCCTCTTTCACCCTCAATAAAAGGTTCTTTAATTCCTCCTCACTTTCTGCCATGAAGGTTGTATCATCTGCATATCTTAATTCCGGCTAGGGATTCATCCAGCCTAGCCTTTCGCATGATGAATTCTGCATATAAGTTAAATAAGCAGGGAGACCATATACAGCCTTGTCGTACTCCTTTCCCAATTTTAAACCAATCAGTTGTTCCATATCCAGTTCTAACTGTAGCTTCTTGTCCCACATAGAGATTTCTCAGGAGACAGATGAGGTGATCAGGCACTCCCATTTATTTAAGAACTTGCCATAGTTTGCTGTGGTCGACACAGTCAAAGGCTTTTGCATAGTCAATGAAGCAGAAGTAGATGTCTTTCTGGAACTCTCTAGCTTTCTCCATAATCCAGCGCATGTTTGCAATTTGGTCTCTGGTTCCTCTGCCTCTTCTAAATCCAGCTTGCACTTCTGGGAGTTCTCGGTCCACATACTGCTTGAGCCTTCCTTGTAGAATTTTAAGCATAACCTTACTAGCGTGTGAAATGAGTGCAATTGTGCAGTAGTTGGAGCATTCTTTGGCACTGCCCTTCTTTGGGATTGGGATGTAGACTGATCTTCTCCAATCCTCTGGTCACTGCTGAGTTTTCCAAACTTGCTGGCATATTGAGTGTAGCACCTTAACAGCATCATCTTTTAAAATTTTAAATAGTTCAGCTGGAATACCATCACTTCCACTGGCCTTGTTATTTGAAGTGCTTTCTAAGGCCCATTTGACTTCACTCTCCAGGATGTCTGGCTCAAGGTCAGCAACCACACTACCTGGGGTGTACGAGCCATCCATATCTTTCTGGTATAATTCCTCTGTGTATTCTTGCCACCTCAAAAATAAAAGTGCCCATTTCTGAAGCAGGTGGCTTTCAGAAAAATCAAGAACGTCCTGCTGATTTCTACTTCTGGTGGCTGCTGGGAGGGACCCTCCCTGCCCCTGGCAGAAGAGGGAGATTTCTTTGGAAATGTCTTACAGTGTGAGAACACCTGATCCTTCCTATTCAATGATGTCCCTCTCCTCATCAAGAAAAAGAGTGAGGAGAGTTACACAGTCCTCAACTGTGCCGTGCTTGACCAGCTGTCCACAGAGAAAACTGTAAAGCTGGATGCTGCCTCTTTTTATAAAGAAATGAAATAAAGAAATGAAAAGTGGAGTTGCATGTGCAGCAATCAAATCTGTGCAAGAGCAGGATTAGCTCCCATTGTGTGCATGGACAGTGCCAACCTCTTTACTCACCACACTGTCCTGACAGGGGCAGTGATACTGATGTTGGCAGGATGTTAACGCTGACATTGATGTGCCGTCCCTGATAATGTGTGCTCTCTTAATTATGAGGGATGAAAGACGCCACAGTATTTTGTGTGGGAGGGCAAGCACCACAAAAATGAAGACGTGTTGGAAATCACATGCACCTCTTCCCTTTGGAGGAGGGGTTGGGAAAATTCACATACCTCCACATACACTCCACCCTGTGTGAAAAACAACAACAGCAACCAGGAAAGCCTGCAATCTCTGAACAGATTACGAAATTACTTTTTTTTCTTCTCAATTGAAAGCAATGTGGGTTGGCCGAGGATGTTCTCTTGCATATGCTGTAGACTGTTCTTCTACAAAAGCCACTTGGCATCAGTCAAAGGGGAGGTCCCTACCTCTGTGCTTCTGAGCTGAAGGAAAATGGCATTTGGTGGAACTCTGTGGATGCTGCTATTATATATGATCATTTTCATTCACTTCTTGCTGTTTGCACGGGGAGTTTATTATCATTTTACAAAGACCCACATTCCTCCAGGAATCACCCACGGCAGAAAATTATATATATTTTCTTTTGCATTGGGATATTTCCTTGAACTGGTAAGTTTGTTTTACATATATCACAATCAAGGGGTTGGGGTGATACTCCCCCCCCCCCATTAAAAAAGGCTGCAGTGTTTGGGATTTTTTAGTTTAGAGAAAAGGCAAGCTGCAGGTGACATGATAGCAGTCTATAAAATTTGTGCATGTCATGGAGAAAGTGGATAGAGAAAAATGTTTCTCCCTGTCTCATGACACTAGAACTAAATGTTGGAAGATTCAGGAAAGCTATAAGAGGGGACTTGTTCGCACTGGACATTTTCAAACTATGGAAGTCTCTTTCACAGGGGCAGTGATGGCTGCCAAGTTGGATAACTATCCCAATTCACAAAGGAGAGGGCTATAGATGGCTGCTAGCCAGCATGGCTATGCTCTGCCTCTACAGCTCAAGGCAGCAATGCTTCTGTACACCATAGGGGAAGGGGACAGGGCTCCTGTGCTCAGATCCTGCTGGAAGGTTTCCCACAGGCACTGTGAGAATAATCTGCTGGACTAGATGGGCCATTGGCCGGGACCAACAGGCTCTTTTTACATTCTTATTGGGGGGGGGGGCGCTTAATGCCAGCCCAAACTCCAAGAGGTGAGTGGTGAATGAAAGGATATACAGTGGTACCTTGGTTTGCATACATATTGGTTTGCATACATTTTGGATTACAAACAAGTCAAACCTGGAAGTGCGTGTCCCGGTTTGCAACCTTTTTTTGGATTACAACCCATTTTTTTGGATTATGAAAAAAAAATTTGGGGAGGCCCCTGTGGCGAAAGCGCGCCTTGGGTTACAACCCAAGGGACCGATTCAGATGGTCCGATTCGGATGGACCGATTCGGATGGTCCGCCCCCGCCACTTAATGGATCCAACTGGCTTCCAGAGAGTGGTAGGGGATGTTTTATCCCAAGTTGATGGCCTTTCAGCTGATTCCCTGGTGGCCCGCTGGAATGCGGAGTTAACCAGGGCAATTGACTGTCTGGCTCCGAAGCGCCCTCTCCGATTGCATGGAGCCCGGACAGCCCCGTGGTTTTCCCCGGAGCTGAGGGTGATGAAACAATCGTTGAGACAGCTATAGCGCCGGTGGCGGAAAACTCATTCTGAATCAGACCGGACACGGGCGAGAGCTCAACGTCGAGCCTACCAAGTGGCAATGGCGACGGCGAAGAGGGCCTTCTTCACCGCCTCCATTGCATCTGCAGAAAACAGCAGCAGGAGACTTTTTCAGGTGGTTCGCAATCTATCAGAACCACCTGTACCACCGGGGCCTGGTAGGGACCCCAAGATCTCCTGCAATGCTTTTGCAAAGTTTTTTGCAGATAAAGTCGCTCAGATTCAGAGGGAGGTAGACTCCACCATGGGAGCAGGGCCAGGGCGGGAGAGTGCTAGAGTTCTGTCTAGTCCTGTTACATGGGATCAATTCCAATCTGTTACCTCCGAGGATGTGGACAGGCTGCTTGGACAAGTGAAACCGACCACCTGTCTCCTTGATCCTTGCCCATCCTGGCTGATAAAAGCGAGCCGGGAAGGGCTGGGCTATGGGCTCTGCGGGGTAGTGAATGCTTCCCTCTGTGAGGGAGCCTTCCCAGACCCGCTGAAAGAGGCAGTCATTAAACCGCTTCTTAAAAAAACATCTTTAAACCCAGCCAATTTGGCCAATTATCGCCCAGTCTCAAATTTACCATTCTTGGGCAAGGTGATTGAGCGGGTGGTTGCCAAACAACTCCAAGCACGCCTGCAGGATGCGGACCATTTGGATCCCTTCCAATCGGGATTCAGGCCTCACCATGGGACTGAAACTGCCTTGGTCGCACTGGTTGATGATCTCCGGCGGGCTAGGGACAAAGGTGAGAGCTGTTTCCTAGTTCTGCTGGATCTCTCAGCGGCCTTTGACACCATCGACCATAACATCCTTCTGGACCGTCTAGATGGGCTGGGAGCTGGGGGCACTGTTATACGGTGGTTCCGCTCCTTTCTCCTGGGCCGTGTCCAGAAAGTGGTGGTGGGGGATGAGTGTTCAGACCCCTGGACTCTCACTTGTGGGGTGCCTCAGGGTTCCGTCCTCTCCCCCATGTTCATCAGTATGCAGATGACACCCAGCTCTACCTCTCCTTTAAATCAGAACCAGTGAAGGCGGTGAAGGTCCTGTGTGAGTGCCTGGAAGCGGTTGGAGGATGGATGGCGGCTAACAGATTGAGGCTGAATCCTGACAAGACAGAAGTGCTGTTTTGGGGGGACAGGGGGCCGTCAGGTGTGGGGGATTCCCTGGTCCTGAATGGGGTAACTGTGCCCCTGAAGGACCAGGTGCGCAGCCTGGGAGTCATTTTGGACTCACAGCTGTCCATGGAGGCACAGGTTAATTCTGTGTCCAGGGCAGCTGTCTACCAGCTCTACCTGGTACACAGGCTAAGACCCCACCTGCCCGCGGACTGTCTTGCCAGAGTGGTGCATGCTCTAGTTATCTCCCACTTGGACTACTGCAACGCGCTCTACGTGGGGCTACCTTTGAAGGTGACCCGGAAACTGCAATTAATCCAGAATGCGGCAGCTAGACTGGTGACTGGGAGTGGCCGCCGGGACCACATAACACCGGTTCTGAGAGATCTGCATTGGCTCCCAGTATGTTTCCGAGCACAATTCAAAGTGATGGTGCTGACCTTTAAAGCCCTAAACGGCCTCGGTCCTGTATACCTGAAGGAGCATCTCCACCCCCATCGTTCAGCCCGGACACTGAGATCCAGCGCCGAGGGCCTTCTGGCGGTTCCCTCACTGCGAGAGGCCAAGTTACAGGGAACCAGGCAGAGGGCCTTCTCGGTAGTGGCGCCTGCCCTGTGGAATGCCCTCCCAGCAGATGTCAAAGCAATAAACAGCTATTTTGCTTTTAAAAGACAACTGAAGGCTTTAGGGAAGTTTTTAATGTCTGATGCTGTACTGTTTTTAATATTCAGTTGGAAGCCGCCCAGAGTGGCTGGGGAAACCAGCCAGATCGGTGGGGTATAAATAATAAATTATTATTATTATTATTATTATTATTATTATTATTATTATTATATTAACCTGTTTTGGTTTACAAATGGATCTCCGGAATGGATTATGGTTGTAAAGCAAGGTACCACTGTACAATGTAGTTGCCCCACATATGAGAGGTTCATTCCACAGGCAGTGCATATATGCAAAATATGATTTTTATATGCAAAGCTATCTGAGGCTGATCATAAATGCTGAATGTTTTGTTTTAAACAGGGAGTGTTTCTGGAAAAACTGGGCATTTGCCATAGATATGTCATCTGCAGGGCTGCGTACGATGCCATACCAACAAGGAAGGATTTAAACTTGATCAGAAAGGACCTGGTTTTTGATGGGGTGCCTGTGAGGGTGTACTGGCCCAAGACACCAGCTGCTGGGAACAGGAGAGGAATCATCTATCTTCATGGAGGCACTGGACTCATCGGAAGCATCCGTAAGTTCTTTGAAAGAGTCTCAAAATGGTTCACTGTATTGTTTGAGGAGAATTTGGGCTGGCACATTAGTATAAAAGTCCAGAAATGTTTGCTATGGAGGGCTTCGGGTGGTTTGTACTGCCCCTGTAGGCAGTTTAAGTTTAATGCAAGATGGGACCATGAGGCAAGAAAACGGGGCTGAGGCCCCCTGTTACAAAGGCGTGCAGTTCTGTAGTAATTCTGTGAACGGCCCTGAGACCTCCGGGTATAGGGCGGTAGATAAATTCAATAAATAAGTAGAAATACATAAATTAAAATTCCTAGTGTCACAGTCAATGAAAAATCCTAAAAATGTCAAAGAAGGTGTTTCTGCTTCATGTACCAAGGGACTTTTATGAAAGGGCTTTAAGAGGAGATCAGAAATAACTGGAAAGAAGCCAAGAAATGTAGGTGGAAGTTTGGTTTTGGTTTTTACCCACTGACACTGCTTGATCTCTGCTACAGATCAGGAGAGGGTAAAACCACAGAATGCCCCATTTACAAAGAGTTCAATGCAACTGAGTTTTTCCCAGGGAACTTCATTAAAAGTTGTTGTTTTCTACAATCAAGTGGCATACAGTATACAATTTATGACATAAAAATAAATAAATAAGCTCATCTAAATTAGCTATATCTCTTGATTTCAACAGATTTACTTTTAGGAGGACTAACCCTGTGTCAACTCACAATGATTTCAGTGTGAATGAGCAGGGGAAATTGTAATGGAGGGGTTGTGGGGCTTGTGTTTTCTTCCAGGAGCCTGTGAAAACGTCTGCTGTTCCATTGTCCACGAAAGTGATTCAGTGGTTGTGAATGTCGGGTAAGTGGTTTCACACTCTTGGTATCCGAAACAATGCGTAATGCCTCTCAGCTTCCAACCTTTCCTGAGTCCAGAGGAATGATGATGATGATGAAGATGATAATTCTTTTTATGATGCCCATCTGACTGGGTTGCCATGCACCCAATGAAAAAAATAGTAAAAAGACAATACATCAAACACTAAAAACCTCCCTGGACAGGGCTGCCTTCAGATGTCTTTTAAAAATCACATAGATGTTTAACTCCTTGAAATCTGCTGGGGGGGGGGGCATTCCACAGAGCGGGTGCAGCTACCAAAAAGGCCCTCTGCCTGGTTCCCTGTTACCTCACCTTTCACAATGAGGGAACCACAAGCAGACCCTCAGAGCTGGGTTGGACGATGGGGATGGAAATGCTCCTTCAGGTATACAGGTCCAAAGCTGTTTAGGGCTTTAAAGGTTAGCACCAACATTTTGAATTGTGCTCGGAAGCCTACTGGGATCTGTGGTAAGAATTCACTTCAACACCACCTTGTCGTTACCCAGGTGAGAAACCACCTTTTAAATCACAGAAAATTATTTTCAGGTCCAGCATCTTGGTTAGACACCTGGTGTTTTTATCTATCTATTGCAATACGACAGAGCTCAATTCAATGTGCCCGTTAAGAAGGTCTGTCCGAGGCACATCAGCTCAAAAGCTTATATCAGTGGTCGGCAACGTGCAGCCCATGGGCCAGATGCGGCCCACGAAGACCGTTTTACAGGCCCATGAGCCACCCTGGAACCGGGCCGCCCGCTGGTCAAGTCCCCCGCGTGCTGCGCTAAACCGACGCAGCGCAGCGCGGGGACTCACGAGCGGTGCTGGAAATCGCTTCTGCGCATGCCCAGACACCGAAAACCACTTTTGTGCAGGCACAATTTTCAGCATCTGGGCATGCGCAGACGCGATTTCTGGCCCCGTGGACGTGCGCAGACGTGATTTCCAGTGTCGCGCTGTGCCAGTCTGTCCCACGGACGATCTCCGTGGGAGTAGTTCAGCCCATGGCCGGTAAGCGTTGCCGACCCCTGGTTTATATAGTAACACAGCACACAAAGAGTCATAAAACTTCCCCTTCACATGTGTCAAGAAAGGTCACAGTCTTCCTGCTATCAATCTCTCCCCCCCCCCCCCAGTACCTTGGGATGTCCACAAGTGACTAGGTCGTTGGACCATTCTAGGTATCGGATGTCCCATGTTGCCCTGGCAAGCTAGCCCATTATCACTCTTTATTGACATTCTTCCATCTCTCTTTCAGGAAACTTCCAAGGATTTCTGATAAACACCACTTTCAGAGTTAGATAAGGAAAGATGGAATGCAATGTAGGATGCAGAGACTCATAACCGCAGAACACACAAAGTCTTGCTCATTTTTAAAGGTTAAATGGAATAAAAAGTGAAACATTGAACATTATTAAAATAAAAATACAAGGCATGACCAGAAAGTTTGGTGAATGGTCAAAGAAATCGGACAGCGAGAAATATTTGAACATACATACCTTGTTGTTGTTTAGTCATGTCCGACTCTTCGTGACCCCATGGATCAGAGCACGGCAGGCACTCCTGTCTTCCACTGCCTCCCGCAGTTTGGTCAAACCCATGCTGGTAGCTTCGAGAACACTATCTAACCATCTCGTCCTCTGTTGTCCCCTTCTCCTTGTGCCCTCCATCTTTCCCAACATCAGGGTCTTTTCCAGGGAGTCTTCTCTTCTCATGAGGCGGCCAAAGTATTGGAGCCTCAGCTTCACGATCTGTCCTTCCAGTGAGCACTCAGGGCTGATTTCCTTAAGAATGGATAGGTTTGATCTTCTTGCAGTCCATGGGTCTCTCAAGAGTCTCCTCCAGCACCATAATTCAAAAGCATCAATTCTTCGGCGATCAGCCTTCTTTATGGTCCATCTTTCACTTCCATACATCACTACAGTGGCGCCCTGCAAGACAAATGCCTCGCAAGACGAAAAACTCGCTAGACGAAAGGGTTTTTCGTTTTTTGAGCTGCTTCGCAAGACGATTTTCCCTATGGGCTTGCTTCGCAAGACGGAAACGTTTTGCAAGTTTGTTTCCTTTTTCTTAACACCGTTAATACAGTTGCGACTTGACTTCGAGGAGCAACTCATAGAACGCGGTGTGGTAGCCTTTTTTGAGGTTCTTAAAGACTTTGGTGATTTTTGAAGCTTTTCCAAAACTTTCCCGACACCGTGCTTCGCAAGACGAAAAAAATCGCAAGACGACAAAACTCGCGGAACGAATTAATTTCGTCTTGCGAGGCACCACTGTACTGGGAAAACCATAGCTTTTACTATACGGACCTTTGTTGGCAAGGTGATGTCTCTACTTTTTAAGATGCTGTCTAGGTTTTTCATTGCTTTTCTCCCAAGAAGCAGGTGTCTCTTAATTTTGTGGCTGCTGTTGCCATCTGCAGTGATCATGGAGCCCAAGAAAGTAAAATCTCTCACTGCCTCCATTTCTTCCCCTTCTATTTGCCAGGAGGTGATGGGACCAGTGGCCATGATCTTCGTTTTTTTGATGTTGAGCTTCAGAACATATTCTGCGCTCTCCTCTTTCACCCTCAATAAAAGGTTCTTTAATTCCTCCTCACTTTCTGCCATCAAGGTTGTGTCATCTGCATATCTGAGGTTGTTGATATTTCTTCCGGCAATCTTAATTCCGGCTAGGGATTCATCCATACCTTACAGGCCTTCAAAGTAGGCCCCCTCTGATACAATGCACCATTGACAACAGCTTCTCTCGTCACAGCAGCTTGGACATGTGAAATGTTGGAAAATCCGTGCCCTTTCAGAGCAGATTTCAGTTTTGGAAAAAGAAAAAAATCAACTGGGGCTAGATCGGGAGAATATGGAGGGTGGGACAACCCAGTAATGATTTCATGCGGAATACGCAATTCTTCCGCCATCATTCGAATGGACAAATGCCGATCCCGCATCAGTAATTCACAAACTCTGTTGACATTTGCCGCCATTCTGCTCATCGATGGTCTTCCAGACTGAGGGTCATCTTCAGTGGTTTGCCGCCCTTCATGGAAACGCTTAAACCACACATACAGTGTCTTTTGAGTTACAGCTTCATCTCCATACACAATTATGAGTATTTCATGGGTTTCCAATGCCAATTGTATGCTTGAATATTTCTCACTGTCCCATTTTTGTGACCATTCACCAAACTTTCCAGTCACACCTTGTATATACAACTTGGATCTCTAATTTTTATATCAGATCCAATATACCATATTTTTCGCTCTATAGGACGCACTGGACCATAGGACGCAACTTGTTTTAGAGGGGGAGAACAGGAAAAAAATAATTCTCCCCCTCTCTGCTCAGCACCCCTTCAGTGAAGCGGCAGGAGAAACGGAGCCCCTTCCATTTCTCCTCTCACTTTGCTGAATGGGCGCTGTGCAGAGAGGGAAAACTGTGGAGCGCCTCTCTAGCGAAGCGAAGCCTGGAGAGCAAGAGGGATCAGTGTGCACTGACCCCTCTCACTCTCCAGGCTTCAGACAGCTATCCACAAGCCTTCGGAGCGCAGTGGGAACTCCTGCTGCGCTCCAAAGGCTTGCGGATAGCTGCCTGAAGCCTGAAGCCTCCACAGCGCAGCGGGAACTTCGCTCCATAAGACGCACACACATTTCCCCTTAATTTTTGAAGGGGAAAAGTGCGTCTTATAGAACAAAAAATACAGTATTTATTTTAAGACTGGTGTCATAAAGCAGGACCTGAGCAGAAGAGCTTTCTCCCCAGCTGCAATTTCCAGCAGCTGGTATTCAGAAGCATTACTGCCTCTGATAGTGGTGGCAGCACACCATCCTTGTGACTAGTACCCATTGGTATGAGTGATTGCTAGGAGTCTTGCTAACTTGATCAGGAGAGCTGCAGTGGAGCCTGCTAATGGACAAGGGAAAGCAAGAAGGAAGCCGCTGGAGGGTGGAGAAAGGTGTGTTGTAATGAAACAGCCTATTTGTCCAAAGGGAAGATTTGCATTTGCTTTCCATTTTTGTCTCAGGTCCCACCCACAGCTGCAATGTGGCCCCCACAAGGTTGCACAGAAACGAATGTGGCCCTAGGGGTGAAAAGGATTCCCAGCACTAGCAATACGTAATGCAGGAAAACAGTCATTTTCTGTGAAGTGTATGATGTTGAGTGTGGGTGATATCTTGTTTTCTCTTTAGATTTCGTTTAGCACCTGAGCATCCCTATCCAGTCCCTGTGCTGGACTGTTTAACTTCTACAATACACTTTCTGAAGAATGCAAAGGAATACGGAGTGGACCCCAACTGCATTGCCATTGCTGGGGAGAGTAGCGGAGGCACATATGCTGCAGCTATTTGTCAAGAACTGGTGACCAGAGAGGGCCTCCCAAGACTGCGAGCTCAGGTCCTCATCAACCCATTCCTACAACCAGGGGACTTTAATTTGCCATCCTATCAGCAAAACCAATCAGTTCCTCCCTTGTTCAGGAAACGAGTTATCAAATTTGGTTTAAGATATTTCACTGGGAAGGACATGAACGTGGACCCATTTATAAAAGGCGCCCATATCCCTCCTGATTTGAGGGAGAAATTCCAAAAATGGCTAAGTCCTGATAACATTCCAGAAGAATTTAAAGCTAGGGGCTATGTTCCTGTAGAACCCGCTCCATTTTCAAAAGAACTTTATGAACAAGTTAAAAGAGGTACTGAGACAATGTTTGCTCCCCTTTTAGCGGAGGATGACATAATCCGCCAGCTCCCGGAGACTTTCCTTCTAACTTGTGAGTATGATGTTCTCCGGGATGATGGGCTGTTGTACAAGAAGCGGTTATTGGACAACGGTGTGCCAGTGACACATCATCATCTTACAGATGCATGCCATTCAACAATTTGCTATTTGGGTTGGGGGCCACTTGAATTTCCGAGCTCAAAGAAATGTTTGCAGCATGTGGTACAGTTCTTGAAAGGTTTATATAGATGAATGACCTTCTTTGTCTTCCAATGGCAGCCTTCCCTTTCTGTGGGGGGACAATCCCCCTTTCCTAGTGTCCCAATCCTAAAGTAAGAAGAAAAGGTCAGATCCAAAATTCTATCCAGTCAGATTTATTAAAATCACCATGACATCTGTAAGTACCTAAGCAAAGCCCTTAGGTACTTATTAAAATCACCATGACATCTGTAAGTACCTAAGCAAAGCCCTGCTGGATTGGGCCACTTCATCCAGCATCCTGTTCTCACAGTGACAAAAAAGAGGCCTCTTGAGATGCCTGCAAGCAGTACCTGGGTGCAAGAAAATTATTCCTACTTGTGATTCCTAGAAAGCAGCATGCAGTGGCTTACAGCCTACAATTGTGCAAACGTACCTATAGCCTCCCCCATGAATTGGCCTGATCCTCTTTTAAAGCCATCCAACTGGGTCACCAAGTTAGCTCATTCCATTGACTAACTGTTGCTTCAAAATATTTGAAAGATTTAGCAATAACAGAGGAGCTCCTGTGCAATAAACTAGACCGATCTAAGCCCTTGTGAATGATATGAACTCATTTAATTACAGCAACATTAGACAGGATTATAGCGAAACTGAAGGGTGGGAATATATTACCCGTCAAAATTAGGGCCATGATACCTGAAGTATCTTTCTATATGTACCTCTTCCAACCAGATGTGTACACCTGAAAGCAGACCGGGATCTACGAAAGAGGGTGAGGGACTGATGAGATATGGTTCTGCTGCACAGCCCCAAGCTATGTCCCCACAGCTATTGTCAGCACTAACCAAAGTTTCCAGAACATTTTGAAGGTCACCTTCATGTGGAACCCATTGCAGTAATCCAAATGGGAGGTCACTAGTGCTGATCTTGACAGGAAGATAATGCCACAGGCCAGCATGGGGAGATGATGGGGGTAAGGAGGAAAAGGACACAGAATAAGAGCTCCACTGCAAAGGGAAATGGTGGCGAGCTCCGTGTTGTCCTATTAAGGAAGGTACGGTCCAGGCTGTCAGGGCTTTGAGGGTGAGCACCAGGGCTAGGCGCCCCCTGAAAAATCCCCACGGAAGTGTGGGGACTTCAGGGGTCCAGCGGAGCATTGGTAACTCACCATAATCCGACACCCCGGCTGCTGGCGCTGCGTCAGGGAAGAAAGAGGCTTGAGTCCGCGTCTGCAGCCAAAGCCACATACCGCCACCGTAAGCAGTGGATTTTCCAATTAAGAGGTACCGTATTTTTCGCTCTATAAGACGCACCAGACCACAAGACGCACCTAGTTTTTGGAGGAGGAAAACAAGAAAAAAAATATTCTGAATCTCAGAAGCCAGAACAGCAAGAGGGATTGCTGGGCAGTGAAAGCAGCAACCCCTCTTGCTTTTCTGGCTTCTGGGATAGCTGCACAGCCTGCATTCGCTCCATAAGATGCACACACATTTCCCCTTACTTTTTAGGAGGGAAAAAGTGAGTCTTATAGAGCAAAAAATACGGTACAAACCAAATAAAGCTTTTAGAGAAGAAATTAGGTTTAAATTGACTGATTTTGTAAAAAGGAAGTCAAAAAGGAAGTCAGCTTCCGATTTCTGCAGGCAAGCTCTGCAAGGTGACTTTTTGTGAATGGGAGCAGAGAGTAATGGCAGCTAATGGAGACTTTGTAGTATTCTGACTTTTGAGGGGCTCTCTTTCTATTAGACACATATTAGTTCCAGTTGTGTCAAGTTGTCCTTTGGATACTCGTGGGATACAATTTGACAGCTGGACAGAGTTTGACAGATTGATACTTTGGCAGAGTAGAAAGCAAAAAGACTTGTATAAAAGAGTTGTGGAAATACAAGCTTTAATTTTAAGCCCTGGAACTTGGTGGTACAAAACCGAGGCTAAGCAGCAGAACTCTATTATATTGGGGAAGAAATTCCCCAAGAAGGAAAGAGAACCTGGAATAGCTGGAGTTATATTCAGTACCTACTGTAGACCAGGGGAATTTATGCAATACTACCTGCCAACAATTTTGGATATTCTTGGACGCATATCTCTCAAACCTTAAAATTGGAAGACTTGGATTACAATATATTGGAGAACCATAGAATCATAGAATCATAGAGTTGGAAGAGACCACAAGGGCCATCGAGTCCAACCCCCTGCCAAGCAGGAAACACCATCAGAGCACTCCTGACATATGGTTGTCAAGCCTCTGCTTAAAGACCTCCAAAGGAGGAGACTCCACCACACTCCTTGGCAGCAAATTCCACTGTCGAACAGCTCTTACTGTCAGGAAGTTCTTCCTAATGTTTAGGTGGAATCTTCTTTCTTGTAGTTTGGATCCATTGCTCCGTGTCCGCTTCTCTGGAGCAGCAGAAAACAACCTTTCTCCCTCCTCTATGTGACATCCTTTTATATATTTGAACATGGCTATCATATCACCCCTTAACCTCCTCTTCTCCACGCTAAACATGCCCAGCTCCCTTAGCCGTTCCTCATAAGGCATCGTTTCCAGGCCTTTGACCATTTTGGTTGCCCTCCTCTGGACACGTTCCAGTTGGTCAGTGTCCTTCTTGAATTGTGGTGCCCAGAACTGGACACAGTACTCCAGGTGAGGTCTGACCAGAGCAAAATACGGTGGCACTATTACTTCCCTTGATCTAGATGCTATACTCCTATTGATGCAGCCCAGAATTGCATTGGCTTTTTTAGCTGCCGCATCACACTGTTGGCTCATGTCAAGTTTGTGGTCAACCAAGACTCCTAGATCCTTTTCACATGTACTGCTCTCAAGCCAGGTGTCACCCATCTTGTATTTGTGCCTCTCAATTTTTTGCCCAAGTGCAATACTTTACATTTCTCCCTGTTAAAATTCATCTTGTTTGTTTTGGCCCAGTTCTCTAATCTGTCAAGGTCGTTTTGAAGTGTGATCCTGTCCTCTGGGGTGTTAGCCACCCCTCCCAGTTTGGTGTCATCTGCAAATTTGATCAGGATGCCCTTGAGTCCATCATCCAAGTCGTTGATAAAGATGTTGAATAAGACCGGGCCCAAGACAGAACCCTGTGGCACCCCACTCGTCACTCTTCTCCAGGATGAAGAGGAACCATTGATGAGCACCCTTTGGGTTCAGTCAGTCAGCCAGTTACAAATCCACTGAGTGGTAGCATAGTCAAGACCGCATTTTACCAGCTTCTTTACAAGAATATCATGGGGCACCTTGTCAAATGCCTTGCTGAAATCAAGGTAGGCTACATCCACTGCGTTCCCTTCATCTACCAGGCTTGTAATTCTGTCAAAAAACGAGATCAGGTTAGTCTGACATGACTTATTTTTCAGAAATCCATGCTGACTATAGGTGATCACAGCATTCCTTTCTAGGTGCTCACAGACTGTTTGCTTAATGATCTGCTCCAGAATCTTCCCTGGTATTGATGTCAGACCGACTGGGCAGTAATTATTTGGGTCCTCTCTTTCCCCCTTTTTGAAAATAGGGACAACAGTTGCCCTCCTCCAGTCTGCCGGGACTTCGCCTGTTCTCCAGGAATTCTCAAAGATGACTGCCAGTGGTTCTGAGATCACATCTGCCAGTTCTTTTAATACTCTTGGATGCAGTTCATCTGGCCCTGGAGACTTGAATACATCTAAACTAGCCAAGTATTCTTGTACTATCTCCTTAGTTATTCTGGGCTGTGTTTCCTTTGCTGAATCATTTGCTTCAAATTCTTCAGGTCGAGCATTGTTTTCTTTATCGGAGAAGACTGAGGCAAAGAAGGCATTGAGGAGTTCAGCCCTTTCTGTGTCCCCTGTTTGCATTTCACCATCTTCTCCTCTGAGTGACCCCACTGTTGTTCTTCCTTTTGCTACGAACATACCCATAAAAGCCTTTTTTGTTGCTTTTAACCTCTCTAGCAAGCCTGAGTTCATTCTGTGCTTTAGCTTTTCTGACTTTGTGTCTACACGTGCTGGCTATTTGTTTGAATTCCTCTTTGGTGGTTTCCCCCTTTTCCATTTTTGTACACATCCTTTTTAATCTTAACTCAGTTAAAAGTTCTTTAGATAGCCACCCTGGCTTCTTTAGGCACCTTCCATGTTTCCGTCTCATTGGTATTGCCTGACGTTGTGCTTTTACTATCTCCCTCTTAACAAACTCCCAGCCATCATGAACTCCCTTTCCTTTTAGTATTACTGTCCATGTGATCTCACCCAGCACTTCCCTAAGTTTTATGAAGTCGGCTTTCTTAAAGTCAAGAAATTGAGTCCTAGTATGCTTGGCTGCTCCTTTCCGCTGTATAGTAAACTTCAGAAGAGCATGATCACTCGCGCCTAATGATCCTTCCACTTCTACCCCACTAACCAGGTCATCAACATTGGTTAGGACCAGATCTAAAATGGCTGTTCCTCTTGTTGCTTCTCCCACTTTCTGGACAATGAAGTTGTCTGCAAGGCCAGTGAGGAATCTGTTTGACCTTATGCTCTTGGCTGAGTTTGACATCCAACAAATATCTGGGTAATTGAAGTCCCCCATTACTACTATCTCCCTTCCTTTTGCATGCTTGGCCATCTGTTCCAGGAAGGCATCATCTATGTCCTCCGTTTGGCTTGGGGATCTATAGTAAACTCCCACAATGAGGTCACTGTTATTCTTCTCTCCCTTAATTTTGACCCAAATGCTCTCACTTTGGCTTTGAGGTTCTAAATCTTGGATCTCTTCACAGGTATACACATCCCTGACATATAACGCCACTCCCCCTCCTTTCTTGTCTGGTCTGTTTCTCTGAAATAGATTGTATCCCCCCATTATTACATTCCAATCGTGGGATCCAAACAATACATTTGGATTTATATTTTGGATTGCAATTATAAATTTGGATCACCTCTTATTTGCCACCACCTCTTTGAAAAGGAAAAGAACTACTGAAGAGAAGTACACAATTCTATATTAATAGTTTCTGTTGGTTTTTGTTTAATTCTAGGCTTTGATCTGGGTAAGAAATGTCCTATTTGATATAGGGTATGTAATTTTGAACATAGAAAGATTTGGCTGGGGTGCAAGGGGTCTGAGAGCAACAACAGCCATTTTCTGATTTTTATCGGTTTATTGGACTTTTTTAAAAATTTCTTTTTATTAATTTTCATTAACCAAACAAAAACAAACAAAAACAAAAAAACAGAACAAAAAAAACCAGACAAACAAAAACAACACTAAATACTAACATAATGATAATTGACTTCCCTCCATCTCGATTTTGGACTATATAACATAATAATTCCTTTCTGCAGTTTTCATTTTACAACATCTACACATCGCAAGAATTATGTTAAGCCTACTGTGGTTTTTAGGTCTCTTGAATCTGCTTCAATGTATGTTATAAATTTGGTCCAATCATTAATAAACTTTGTACCTTTTTGTTGTCTGATGTTCTGCGTCATTTTTGCCAATTCTATATATTCAAATAGTTTAATTTGCCAATCTTTAATGGTTGGGATATTTGGGGTCTTCCAGTTTTGTGCTATCAGGAGCCTGGCAGCTACAGTTGCATATTGGAACACTGTCTGATCTTCTTTCTTGATCTCTTCTCCAATCATTCCCAAAAGGAAGACTTCAGGTTTTTTAGCAAAAGTGTATTTAAGTATTTTTTTTCAGTTCATTATATATAAGTTCCCAAAAAATTTTTAATCTGGAAATGTAAGATCAAGGAGGGAAATTTCTACCATATGTGGTGGATGTGCGAAGAAATATTTTAAAAAATTGGTTTATTGGACTTTTTACTCTCTCCCATCTTTTTGTTGTTTTTTTCATTGTATGGCAGGGACTGGTAGGGAGGGGGAAAACATTTAAAGGGTAAAGGAAAACTATGGTTTAGCCTGGGAGTGGTAAAATACTTTCACTTTTGGGCAGAACCAAGAAACGCAGGTGTGACCTTGAACAGATCATAATATCCCAGGCTCAACTCTTCCATTCTTGGGCAAGGTGATTGAGTGAGTGGTTGCTGAACAACTCCAGGCACGCCATTTGGATCCCTTCCAGTCGGGATTCAGGCCTCATCATGGGACTGAAACTGCCTTGGTCGCACTGGTCGATGATCTCCGGCGGGCTAGGGACAAAGGTGAGAGCTGTTTCCTGGTTCTGCTGGATCTCTCAGCAGCTTTTGACACCATCAACCGCCAAGACCATATAGCACCAGTCTTGAAAGACCTACACTGGCTCCTAGTACGTTTCTGAGCACAACTCAAAGTGTTGGTGCTGACCTTTAAAGCCCTAAATGGCCTCGGTCCAGTATACCTGAAGGAGCGTCTCCACCTCCATCGTTCTGCCCGGACACTGAGGTCCAGCGCAGAGGGCCTTCTGGCGGTTCCCTCACTGCAAGAAGCCAAGTTACAGGGAACCAGACAGAGGGCCTTCTCGGTAGTGGCACCCGCCCTGTGGAACGCCCTCCCACCAGATGTCAAAGATTCAAACCGTTAAAATTCCAACTTAATATTTTAAGATTGGCCATCGTCAGAGTCACTTACAATATCTGTTTTTCCACCTGATGCTCCTTCCAGTGAAAGCCACTCCAAAGCAGCTGCTTGTTCTGCTAGTGGGTTGTCCTGTCCAGCGTTTAGGTCTCTTCTGTGTTTTTCAAAAAATTCTTTGGCCTGGTATTCTGTTGTCAGCCTATATATCTTTTTCATAAATGTAAACAAGATCCCCTCTGGGTATTTCCATTTATATTTAATGTCTACTCTTCTCTACGCTGTCTCTTCCTGTACACGTGCACGTCTCCTATCAATAGCAGATTTCCTTGTGACGGCTCCTGTGTCTTGTTTACCAGCCATTTCTAGGCCAGAAAGTTTCCCCATAACTGAATGCTTTTATTTTGAACTGTATATTGTGATCGAAATCTTCCAACCTTTAAGCTTAAAATATATATGTCCAGAATGTCCAAAGCCCAAAATTTATAAAACCCAAAATGTAAATCCAAATATATTGTAATCCAAAATTTCCAACCGTTAGGCTTAAAATACGTACATCCAGAATGTCCAAAGATATTAATTTCTTGGCAGGTAGTATTGCGTAAATCCCCTGGTCTTCAATAAGCACTAAATATTACCGGTAATTCCAAAGCTATTCCAGGTTCTCCTTCCTTCCTGGGGAATTTCTCCCCTAGTGTGATGGAGAGTTCTCCTGCTTAGCTTTGGCTTTGTGCCACTAAGTTCCAGGGTTTAAAATTGGGGCTTGTATTTCCACAACACTTTTATCCAAGTCTTTTTACTTTCTACTCTGCCAAAGTATCAGCCTGTCAAATTCGGTACAAATCTGCGCAGAAATGTCAGCCGGGGGGGGGGGGGGGCGGCTCAGGAGGGCAAGTTCACATGCTCCGCTGGACCGCTAGGATCCCCACTCCTCTGTGGGGAGGTTTTTTTTTTGGGGGGGGGCGCCTAGCTGTGCCAAGCTTGACCAGCTGTCGACAGAGAAAACTGAAAACCTGGATGCTGCCTCTTTTTATAAATAAATGAAATAAATGAAAAGTGGAGTTGCTAGGGGCCTATCCAGTCCCTGTGCTGGACTGTTTAACTGTTGCATACACTTTCTGAAGAATGCAAAGGAATACGGAGTGGACCCCAACTGCATTGCCATTGCTGGGGACAGTAGTGGAGGCACATATGCTGCAGCTATTTGTCAAGAACTGGTGACCAGAGAGGGCCTCCCAAGACTGCGAGCTCAGGTCCTCATCAACCCATTCCTACAACCAGGGGACTTTGATTTGCCATCCTATCAGCAAAACCAATCAGTTCCTCTCTTGTTCAGGAAACGAGTTGTTAAATTTGGTTTGACATATATCACTGGGAAGGAGATAAATGTGGACGGAGTGATAAAAGGCGCTCATCTCCCTCCTAATTTGCGGGAGAAATACCAAAAATGGATCAGTGCTGATAACATTCCAGAAGAATTTAAGGCTAGGGGCTATGTCCTTAAAGCTCCTGCGCCATTTTCAGAAGAACTTTATGAACAACATAAAAGAGGTTTTGAGGCAATGTTTTCACTCTTTGTTTACTGGTGTAAACAAAGTCTCACCTGGACTTCCCAACCTATCTTTCCTTGACATCCTAACCCAGTCACTTTAGTTTGCTGCAACTCCTAAAGCTTTCCAATCCTTCCCTCCTCTCTCTTTCACTCTTTGTTTACTGGTGTTTACTGTTTTCATGTGTTTACTGGTGTTCATGTTTATCTCTACTTGTAAATTTATATTTATACTGCTTCTATTTAAATACTCTTGTAGTTCCCACTTGCTTAATACTGTTTATCTCTTTGTATTTCTTATTTTGGCTGTCATCGTGACTAATTCTACATATTCTATTTTAAAAAAAAAAAAATATTTATTAGTAGTTTTCAGAATTATAAGAAGAAGAAAAAACATTAAAAAACAACACTATAATAGACAAAAAGAAAAGAAAAAACACAAAAACCAATACAACAATACAACAAAAAGATAAAAAGAAAAAAGAAAACAACACAAATCCCAAATTACATATCTAAAACGTCCATTTGCTTGTTTCATTGACTTCCTCACACCTCCCTTTTTGTATTCTAGTTTAATTAGTTATTTCAGCAAATTCTTTCCATCTTTCTCAATTTTTGTTAAAAAATTTATCCTAACCTAATTTAATCTAATAATTAACTCAACAAATCCTTTCCATCTTTCCCCATATTCTATTATTCACATTACCTTAATTAATTTAACCTTATCTTACCCTAAAACACCTTAAAGCTTGAATCTTAGTTATCAAATATACATTACTCCTGATATCATTTCTGCTAAAGTCATATAGTTTCATTCCAACATTTTCCCTAATATTCATTAATTTTTAGCCAATTCCCCAAATAGAAAATTTTCTTTGTAAAATTTCTTCCAATCTTCATCCAACGTCCCTTCTTCCTGGTCTCGGATCGTGTCAGTCCTTACTGTCCATTCCATCTAGTCCATCAACCTGGAAGCCTTATGTCCGAGGCCCTTAAGTGTCTTCCGTGTCCCTTCTGCAATTGTTCTTCTTCTTGTTTATACTTGCCCTTTTCCTTGTCTTTTGTTGGTCTCTTTCTTAGTTTCTTTCCTTTCTCATTGAGGGGTAGGCCTCTGGGGGATTCCAAGCCAAAATTGTCTCCATCTCCCTTCATCAAACCCGCCCATTCCCCACAGCCCCACTCCCCACAATCCTCAATATAGTCCAAAAAGTATTTAAAAGCATATTCCAAGGTCTCTCCAACGTTGGGAACCTCCTCAACTCCAGACTCCCCCTGGCCCACTCCAACTTCAATCTTCAATGACAGCGGCTCATACTCCTGTAGGGCCTCGGGACTCTCCATTTGTATTATTTGGGGTGCAACCGCATCCTCCTCCATTATCTTCTGCACTTGCCCAGTCAGTCAGTACAGATTCATGAGTTGATCCCTGGATAATTTCTGTATCAGTATTCCCTGTTTGCCCACAGTTATTAACTGCAACAGTCAAATCCATTTTCTCATTCATCAAGTCCATCTTCTCATGCATCTGTTCCAGCAGGGCACTTGTCTTGCATAAGGCAAGCACCCAGTCTTCTTTCCAACTCATCTTTAGTCAAGGTCAGAAAAGCCTGTTCCCACGGTCTTAATCTCACATCTGTTGAGCCCTTAAATGTACTGCAGCAACAATTTGACAAGCTCCCTCTAGAGGAGGCAATTTCTATTTGTATCCATTTTTTTAGGCAAGTCCAACAAAGGAAAATTACTTTCGTTTTTCAGATATTTTTCAGATATTTTGTTTCTTTAGGATGCAAAAGGCAACATTGGAATCAGCTTGTTTCTCTTCTTTAGCTATCTGTCAAAATATTCAATTCACAGTCAATGAACCTCTCCAACAATTTCTGTCTCTGACACCCCGTTCCCAGGTTAGAGACAGTGGAAACTTATCCTTCTTCACTCCCTCTCCTGCTAGGGTTGAACAAAGTTCCCCCCCTTTTCTCCTGCTTCCAAGGGGGTTTCAGTAATTCTAAATGAAGGAAATTTAGACTTTTTTGACAGCTTTCCAGGCTTTAGCTTACAAAGTTTTTGCTTTACAGTGGTGCCTCGCAAGACGAAAAGAATCCGTTCCGCGAGTCTCTTCGTCTTGCGGGTTTTTTCGTCTTGCGAAGCAAGCCCATTAGAGGTTTAGCGGCTTAGTGCTACAGTATTAGCGGCTTAGCCGGCTTAAAGATCAGCTGATAAGCGGCTTAACGATCAGCTGATAAGCAGCTTAGCATCAGCTGTTAAGCGGCTTAAAGATCAGCTGATAAGCGGCTTAGCATCAGCTGTTAAGCGGCTTAGCCATCAGCTGATAAGCGGTTTAGCGGCTTGGGAAAAAGGGGGGGGAAAGGAAAAAAAACCCCGCAGGAACTCACAAGACAGTTTCGTCTTGCGAAGCAAGCACATAGGAAATTCGTTTTGCGAAGCACCTCCAAAACGGAAAACCCTTTCGTCTAGCGGGTTTTCCGTCTTGCGAGGCATTCGTCTTGCGGGGCACCACTGTAGTCTATATACAAAAAGCGGAAGGCAGACTTCCTGTTTTGAACCTTCCCGCTTCGTTACCAAATTAAGAAATTTCTTGATCCAATTTTCCGTTTCTACTCACGGGTACTTGTTTTAAATCCAATTGTCCACAGGAAAAAGTCAGCGCTCTCCGGCAATGGCTGTGTGGCTTCACTCCGTGAAAGTAGCAGTCAGTTCGCAGCACCGCGCTTCTCACCCCACTTCGCTCTGGAGCCCCTAAATGGGATTCCCTGCGAGTAGGGGGGCGCTCCTGGTGCCCTGCCGAACCCCACGTTCCCAGGCTTCCTCCGCCTGGGATTTCTAGCGGGTCCCCACCTTCGCCGCGGCGGGAAGACCCAGTTTCCACGGAGCCCGTTCCTCCAGACGGAGGAACTCCGCCATTCACCAATGGCGCTGACCTGGAAGTCCCTAATTCTACATATTCTATTAGTTTAAGCAACCACTGGTCTTTGGTTGGGATTTTCCTCTCCTTCCATATTTTAGCGGATAGTACCCTTGCTCCTGCTGTTGCATAAAGGAAGAAGTTTTTTTAGCTTTATCTGGAATCTTCTGTCCTATTATAGCTAACAGGAATGCTTCTGGCTTCTTGGGGAAGGAACATTTAAGCATATTCTTCAGTTTTTCATAAATCATTCCCCAGTATTATTATTTTTGCAAGTTCACATTACCACCACATGCGGATGAACGAGCCCTCCTTGTCTAAACATTTCCAACATAAATTGGATCCTCTTTTCTACATTTTAACCAGTTTGCTAGGTGTTAAATGCCATCTGAAGAACAATTTTTTGGTTGTTTTTTCTAATTGCATAACAAGATGAGAATTTTATCATGTTATTCCACAATTTTTCCCATGCTGATAATTCTATACTGTATCCAAAATAAGACACCCAATGAATCATTGCCTTCTTCACCAACTTGTCTTTGGTCTCCCATTCCAAGAAGATCCCAAATTCTGATTCTTCTCCTGAAAATCCTTTCTCTTCGTCTTTCCTGAATAGCTCATTTATTCAAAAGTACTGAAACCAATCTGTCACAAATTCTTTAGTTTCTTCTCCCTTTTTCAGTCTTATCAAATCACCTTGGAATTCCAGAAGAGGCATTTGCATGGGGTTAAGGCAGAGTGAGGGCCCCCCAGACTATCCCTGTGCCTTTAACCTCTCAGCTGACATCTCCATCTCTTCCTTGATTAGTCTGCTTCATCTGAGGTTACAGCCTGTTTTCCTTTTCCTCCTCCTATTTCTCTCTTGGAGCCTAAGATGAGGGAGCACCTTCAAACTTTCCCGAGACAACAAAAGAGCCGGCAGGGCTGCCTTTTTCTTCTCAAGTCTAGTTTGTAAGACTAGAACTTGATACCTTTTCCTTCCAAGTATTTCCTACAATAACCAGCTTTACTGTTTTCTTACGTACAAGCATCTGTCGGTGTGTGATTGCGACAGGTAAAGTCTGCTCTCTAAAGTCTATTCACAAGATCTATGCTGTTTACTGACCCAAGAGCTTCAGAAGGTAAAGGGGGTCAATAAGAGCAAGCCCTATTTCAACAAATTATTGGCCCATTTATCCCAATAGTGTGGGAGAAAGATCTACCTTGTAGCTAACTAGAGTGAATGATTATAGCATGAAAGTAAATATTTTTTCATTCCCTTCTGCGTAGAAACATCCACTCTGAGGAAAATAATCTAAAGCTAGAGAAAGGAGCCTCTGAGCTTAGTGCAAAGGACTGTGTGGAGCAGGGGTAGGCAACGCCCAGGGGCCGGATGCGGCCCAATCGCCTTGTCAGTCTGGCCCGCAGATGGTCCAGGAATCAGTGTGTTTTTACATGAGTAGAATGTGTCTATTTATTTAAAATGCATCTCTGGGTTATTTGTGGGACATAGGAATTACTTCATTCCCCCCCCCCAAAAAAAATATAGTCCGGCCCACCACATGGTCTGAGGGACAGTGGACTGGCCCACGGCTTAAAAAGGTTGCTGACCCCTGGTGTGGAGTGTCCTGTGAGAGTATTAAGGCAGGAGTTAGTTGGAGGGCTGAGTTTGAGCCAGGAGAAGTAGAAGCTGTGAGGTAACAGTCTACTGAAGTCTCATTCCAGTCAGGAGGGGAGAGATCTTCTAGAAAGAGAAGACTCCCAAACCATTTAAGAGGGGTGTTCTAATCCCCTGTGTCTGTTGTCCATTTGGAGTACCTCAGGAATGGGATGGTCAAAAGGTTGGGGAACTGACAGAAACAACCACCTTGTTTGAAAACCAATGTATTAAGCTGTGACAACAACTGTGTTAAGAAACTGAAGTAACTGAAAATAAGCTGAGCATTTACCATCTAGTCTATAAACCTGTAACATCAAACTGACAATAAGCAACTGAAGTTTAACAGAAGCTGGTGGGAGGTTTTATTTACCTGATGCTTAAAGTCTTTATCCAAGCAGTCTGGTAAGTCAGTGGTTTGAAAGCTTGTTATTCTGGAGAGAGACGAGAGACGCTGTTCACAGTGCCACCCCCAAATGGGAAGTCCAGAGGTTCCATTATCGGGTATCATGACTACCGGTAATTG